TGACCAAGAACCAGATGAACAGTTTGATGAAGAATATATTGATGAGTCAATTGATCAACCATCTACGTCAAAAAAAAAGCAGATGGTGAAAATACATACTTATAAAGCATATCATGTCATATATGGATATAAAAATAGAACATTTGCAACGGCAAGAAAGTGGATTAGGCCTATAGGGGAAATCACTTAAAAAAAGTGCGCCGAGTGCTCTACCGCCAGGTGGTGTGGAAACGAGCACAAGAAAAACACAAATTTGTACTAGCAAATTATTCAAATTTATATAGAATTAGTTTCTCATATTAAATGAACTAGAAACTACTAGAAAATATATGCTTTGTATTTAAGCGCCTGTATCTCATTAACCCGTTCATTGACGAAATCGGTGAATAGGACCTTTCTTGGTGGGTTAATTTAAATAGCTTTCTTTTTGGTCTCTTGAAAATTTTTTGTACAGTGCACCCAGACCGAGTTATTTAAAAAAAAAACATAAAAATGTCATAATTTGACAGGATTTTTCAATATGGTGGCCAAATCCGGGATCGATAGACAGTGCAATAAATTTAGTAGAGTATTCAACAAAGCAAAACAAAGAGAATAACTGTCATTGCAGCTTGCCCCCTAATTATTTCCACCTAAAACCACTTGTCGACTGGTCTACTACCCCAAAAAAGTTCATTAACACGTTTTGAATACGAATTTTTTAAAATTAGAAAACACTTTTTTATATAAAGAGATCTGTTTATATATTGGATAGCTATACTAAAAATATTATTTAAAAACTAGTTAAAACCGCCAGACCAAAAAATAGCAAGAAAATATTAAAAAACCTAGTATTTTATACAGGGTCCGGCAATAGTGCGTCGGGTATCTGTAGATCTTAGAATAAAAAACTTGTGAATTTTAAGTGCAGATCTAAAGCATGTACTAGGATGTATTTCAGGAAAATTTAACTTCTACATAGTGGCTCAAAAAAGTAAGAGTGGATCGGAATTATTTTTTTTATAATTATTGCATTTTTGGCTTCCTTTCAGAGCAATTTGCATAATCCTAAGATATGAGTAAATATTATTTCGATAGTTTCAGAGATATTAATAAATAAATACATATATACCGGGTGCGTCTCAAAAGTGGCTCACGCCTATAACTTTTTTATTTTTTTATTAAAAGAAAACGAGATTTGGTATGTTAGTATATGACATAAATTAGGACTGGTTGACGTATTCAATTGTTTTCAGTCACTTCCGGTTTCACCGGAAATGACTACAACTTTTGATTTTTAAATGGCACCCCCGGTATTATTTTACTTTATTTAATAAAAAATGTCACTCTGAATAGAATGACATATCATATGTCAACTTTTGACATTTTCGCATATGGTTTATTTGAAATTAAACCTTGCGGTTCGTAACGAATTTGACTTGAAATACCAAGTGTGTGGTATCAAATTATTTGTAAAAAAATGCTTTTTCCAAATATGCTAATGAGCCACCCTCGTTCCATTTGAAAAATTTGAGATATGTTTAAAAATACGATTAGAGCAATTTCTAACTGGCCAGGACAAGACACTAAAAACATTGGACGATCCAATCTATTTTTCCTAGGCTCCTTGATGAATAATTAGTGTTTTTAACATAGCCATGGCACCCTAGATTGAATTTTAAAATACAATTTTTTCTTAAGCGAGAATGTCAAAAGTTGACATATGATATGTCATAGAAAATATAAAAAAAAAAAAATATAAAGTAGTAATAATATACCGAGGGTGCCATTTAAAAATCAAAAGTTGTAATCATTTCCGGTGAAACCGGAAGCGACCAAAAATAATTGAATACACCAATCAGTCCTAATTTACGTCATATACTAACATACCAAATCTCGTTTATTTATCTGAAAAAATAAAAAAGTTATAGGAGGTGAGCCACTTTTGAGACGCACCCGGTATATATATATTTTTTTTTTCAGCTTTTCAAAAAAATATTAAAAATACAAGAACTGTCCTGAAATCAAAACTATATTAGGACATTTACTTCAGATTCTTACTTTGCTATAAATATCTTAATCTTAAATCACACAGGGTGTTCAAAATTCTTAAATCGTATTTTTAAATGAAACACCCTATACAGGGTGATTCACGGTCATGGCACGTTAGACGTTTATGGAGAACCGGTGATTTTTTGAAAATTTGGATTTTTGCATAAACGCAGCTGCTGCTCTATCTGTAAATTATTTTCAGCATTGCAGTGTTGCTGCTTCATACTAAAAGTGGTAGCTTCTTTGTTATTTTAAATGTAACACCCGATCAACCGGCATATTATTATATTTTTGGAAACTACTTCCATATCTCAAAATTTGTCTATTGTACTAACATATATCAATCTTTAATAGTTTTCGAGATAAAAAATAAAACATGTGTAAAATTCACAAAAACATGATCTTGAATAAGCATTGGTTAAATCGTATATTCAGCATATTGAAAGCTGAAATTTGGTTTATAGATTAAGGAAAGTTGACATCCGATCTGTCTAAATCAACTGATTGGATATCAAACAGAGATATCAGAAAAAATAATTATTTCCGTTTGTTTTAAAATCGTTCAAATTTTTGTTATTTTAAATTCTAGCCTATGTGTATTATTTAAACAATCTAAACCGAAATAAAATGGCTTTTCAACGATATATCATGTTTCTACACCTAAACCTTCTGTTTTTTTAGTAAAGCCATTTAAAAGATAATAATTCTATTATAATAATTGTTTCGTTTAAAGAAAATCGTTACCATGACAAATATTTGACAAATATTTAAACTTTATAAGTATCAAAGTTTACGTGCTAAATTTCTAAAATCGTCATGGTAACGAAATTCGTAAAATAAAACTATATTAATACAATTATTAATTTTTAAATATCTCTACTTAAGAAACCGGAAGATTTAGGTATAGGAACATAATATATCCTTGGAAAGCAATTTTATTAGTCTTTTGATTTTTTAAATAATATACATAGGGTTGAATTTAAAGTAACAAAGATTTGAGCAATTTTATAACAACCGGAAATAAATAATATGTTGCCCTCCCTGTGTAATATCCAATTGGTTTATTTAGACAGATCGAATATATCGACTTTCGTTAACGCATAACCCAAATTTCAACTTTAAAAATGTTTAATTAATGATTTTATCAACGCTTGTTTACGATCATGTTTTTGACAATTTTACACATATTTTAACATCTTTCAAAAACTATTCGAAATAGGTATAGGCTAGCATAATAGAAAAATTATGAGATGTGAAAGTAGTTTCCAAAAATGTAATAAGATACTGGGTGTTCCATTTAAAATAAGAAAGATGCTACCCCTTTTCAAATGGGACGGCAACACTGTAATGCTGAAAATATTTTAGAAAGATGGAGCAGGTGTCTTTATGTAAAAATTCAAATTTTCATAGAAATTCTATTATCGCGGCACCGGTTTTCTATAAACGTCTAACGTGCCATCCCCGTGAATCACCCTATATATTATTTTTTGATTAGATTGCGAATTAAAAAATGAACAATTTTTGAGTATTTTAAAATTTTTAACGCGGTTATTTTAAAATTTTTAACGGTTTCGCAGATACTCGCGATATTATTATATACGGGTCTTTCAACGGTAAAATACGAGAGAAAAATCATTTGGTGGCTTTGATAAAACTATGGAAAATGACATATGAAATATAAAACTGCAAATATAATATAATATAAAACCCGTTAAAATTTTTTAAATGCTCTAAATACAAAAATTGTCCAATTTTTAATTCGCCATCTAATAAAAAAATAATATACAGGGTGTATACATTAAAAATAAATTCCATTTAAAAATACGAAGAAAAATTATTTTATATTTTAGAAAGTTCGGCGTAGAATTTTGAACATCCTGTGTGATTTAAGATTACGATATTTTCAGTAAAGTAAGTATGGACCATCTGAAGTAAATACCTAATATAGTTTTGATTTCAGGATAGATCTTGTATTTGAAGGGTCCAGGGGAAAAACTTGATAAGTGCCAATTTCTTAATTTTATTTTTTTTCTCTTATAGTCCGCGAACTGCTGGACACAATCAAATACCGAAAAGCAGCATATGTGGGTCACGTGATACGTAACGATAGATACCAATTTCTTCAGCTGATCACTGAAGGAAAGATTGAGGGAAAGAGGAGAGTCGACAGAAAGAGGATGTCATGGCTTCGAAATATCAGACAGTGGATGGGACTGAGGACGATGGAGGATCTACTCCACGCGATACGAAATCAAGAAGAGTGGACTAATGTGATCGCAAATATCTATTAGTGGATTTGCAGCAGAAGAAGAAGAAGATTTTTGCTGGACCCTGTATATGTCCTGTAAAATATAATATAATATAAAAGGTTCTCAAAAGGTTTAATTTTAATATTTTTATATCATTTGGTCAATAGATCGGGATTTAGAATATTTTGAGTAAGATATATTGTTCTTTTATATTAACTCTTCTTATTCTAATCTATTTTAAACGATATTTCTTTTTCATATCTGGCAGAATGCTGTAAGGGCAAGTGGCCATATCTGGATTGGATCGGGAATTGGATATTTCCAGAGACACTGATCCTTTCCACAGGAGAAGAAGAAGAAGAAGATATTTCTTTTTCTTGCTTCTAAATAACCTATCGACAACATAAAGTCTTGGGTCGGTATTTACATCTCTAGGAGGATCACTATGGCGATCTTGTAAGTCGGAGAGAGAAAAATGCGAAGTGTTTATTACATAACTTATGTGTTTGGGAAATGCTTGCTCTTATGAGGACATTGACAGTACTCTTTGTACACTCGAAAATCGGCACCAAATGCCAGGCGTTGCCGACCTTGTATGTTAATAGTTATAAAAGAGGCGAACAAGGCTCACGGCCTTTTCTTTAGTTGCGGCCATTATACATTTCAAGCTAATCTAGGAAGATTGTTAGACTCTTCTATTTCTTGGTCTGAGGATAACATTTACTTATTCTATTAAGAGATCGTATTAAATATAATATAATTATTTTATAGTGCTAAGAGGGATCATTTCTGTTTTGGATCTGCTACTATGTCTGTTATTGGTGGTCGTGTATCTGTATATGTAGGTACTGGTCCTAGTAAAGTTGAGATCGGAATTGTTCACTTGGCTGCACTTGAAGAACGCAGATTTGAATTCTTGACGAAATTTACCTGCAAAAAAGAATTAATACAATAAGACGAGAAAGGTATATAGGTATTTAAAAGCATTTTTTCTCTTTTCATAAAGGTCTAACTAAATAAATTTCTGTTGAAAAAATCTATAAAGTCGGTCCAACGAGTCAAACATTAATTATCATTTACATACTATGAATTAAAATGATAGACAGCTGTTACTGTCATGTATCCTCTCAATGGACAGACTTTACATTTTCCTTGTTTCGATAATCCACTTTAAGAAATTACTTATCATTACTATAATCAGTTATAGTATGGTCTGTCCAACGACTTAGAAAAAATTTCGACCGACGACATCCAAAAAATTACAGAAAATACAATTCACAATTTGCTTATGAATTGACAGACACGATGATATAGCAACGCAGGGTTTAAAACAATAATTTTATGTTAAAGCATACTGTATATAATCTATCTACTTTAATTCATTTTTTTATAAACTTTAGTATTTGGCTTATTATACAGAGTTGCTTTTTACCCTAATTTTAAAAAACACTCTGCAATAATTTCGTGAGTAACTTTTCCTAAAATATAAATAAAATTGCTTTTCGATCAGAGCTATGTCTCCTGAGTAGGGATGTACCGGAATTTCGGCGGCATCACTAAACTTCGGTCCTTCGACCGAAACTCCATTCCGGCCGGATCGCCATAATAATTCGGCTGGAATTTTCAAAAAATTACTTACGTTAAATATAAGTAGAAAGCAAGAAAATACGTTTTAAAGATCATATATTATATTTCTCAATTATTTGTAATATAAACATTAAATTTAGGAAATATCTTATTATAACAAACCGCATAGGAAGTAGAATGTTTTACAAACATATAAAAAAATAGTTCTCGGAATTAAAAACTAATTCATAATTTATTTTATTCTGATTGTGATGTATAAATAAGAACTTTCCTCTATTTTCAGAACTTAGTCTACACCTATTGTCAACATACCCTGTTACAAAACCTATCAAATTTTCGAAAATAGGCTTTCTGAATACACACAAGTTGCAGGGCTAGATACAAACTGCGTAACTATATTAATCAGCCTGCTCCACCACTCAATAGAGACTTTTTGCCAATAATCGGCATCTACGGCAAACTTGAAAAAAGTTGATGTAAGATGTTGCCTTTTGAACCACTCATATATAGAGTATAAACATGTAGAAGTTGGTAGAAAGTCATCGTAGCATTTCCACAGTGTGAAGGGTCAATTTGTTTAATTTGATTGTTCTTTTTATTTGAAGTCGCTCTTTTCTGGATAGCGGCTAATAGAAGTTCATCTTCATTCTCGCTAATAACTATGCTATCCTCATCGTCTACTTATAGTTCAGATTCGAACTCATCGGGTTTGCTTTTATTAATCTCTGTAATTTTCCTCACGCAAGTTTGTTTTTAATAGATTCGACTATAGCATTATATACGAGTATAGTCTGTCCAACGCGCAACAGGAGGACCCCTGACAGTGACAGATGGGTCTGTAATTCTAATTCAGAGGCAAAATTTATTTTTTTATCATTTCTTATGTCATAGTTTGAATATCGTTTCTCGAAACTCTGTCCAATGACTCAGGGAAAGTTTCGATCGAGAAACCCATCTGTCACTGTCAGGGATCCAGGGACAGACCAAGGTGTCTGTTCAACGTTAGATCTTAGTCAACGTTGAATCTTAGTTGTTGGTCTTAGTCCGCTCTCTAGTTGACAATAACAGATAACTAAGATTTCTAAGAAAAGTATAATATTCAAACATTTTTTTTCGCTGCCAAAAGCTAGCTCTACATCTGCTTTCATTATATAAATATAACAGAGATTGTCTATAAATGTAAATCGCTCTAAAATATTGAAATAAGTTCCTACATGTTCGTGCATTTAAATTGCACCAGAAGCTTTATAATATAATGCATAAAATTCACAAAAGTTCGGGTACAAAATTATGGATGAATGTACTATGTACGCAAAATATAAAATTGAAATGTATCCGCTTTAAATTTGACATATTACAGAGTGAAATTTTGCTTAAACTAAATAATTTTAAATTTTCATTAGTTTTTAATATTGTTGCATTCATTGTGAGTGTATATCGACAAATATCCTTACTAATTCATTTAAAAACTAATAAAAATGTGTGCAAATACTAATTTAAAATTAATTTTAACAAAAAAAAATACATTTATATAATTTTGTTGAGCTTCATGTTAGCTTTGGATTTGGAACTACCAGCAGAGTTGGTAGGCTGCAGGATGTTCATTGTTTCCAATTACTACAATGCCATTGCCCAACAAATGGCACATTATATACCGGGTGCGTCTCAAAAGTGGTTCACCCCTATAACTTTTTTATTTGTTCACACAAAAAACGAGATTTGGTATGTTAGTACCTGCATAAAATAGGACTGATTGACTTATTCAATCATTTTCAGCCACTTCCTGTTTCACCGGAAATGACTACAACTTTTGATTTTTAAATGGCACCCTCGGTATTTTTTTACTTTATTCGATAAAAAATATCACTCTGAATAGAATGACATAATAGCATATGTCAACTTTTGACATTTTCGCTTAAAACAAAATTGTATTTTGAATTTCAATCTAGGGTGCCATGGCTGTGTTAAAAATACTAATTTTTATTCAACGAGCCTTGGAAACATAGATTTGATCGTCTAATGTTTTTAGTATCTTATTCTGGGCAGTTAGAAGATACCCAAATCGTATTTTTAAGCATATCTCAATTTTTTCAAATGGAACTAGGGCGGCTCATTAGCATATTTGGAAAAAGCATTTGTTTACGAATAATTTGGTACCACACAATTGGTATTTCGTAGTCAAATTGTCGTTATGATTCGCATGCCGCAATTTCAAATAAACGATATTCGAAAATGTCAAAAGTTGACATATGATACGTCATTATATTCAGAGTGTCATTGGGCGAATTCAGTAAACACACCGGTTAGTCCACCGGTGCCGAAAATTATATTGAATGCCAATGGTAACTCACCGGTTGATTCACCGATCACTTGAGAGCCTACCGTATTTTGTTTCCGGTTTATTTATGTACCGGTAACTTGATCGTTCAATGAAAAGTTATCGGTAGGTCTTTACCGGTTAATACCGGTGGGTTTACTGAATGCGCCCATTTTCTATCGAATAAAGTAACAAAGTTCCAGGGGTACCATTTAAATATCAAAAGTTGTAGTTATTTCCGGTGAAACAAGAAGTGACCGAAAACAATCAATCCTAATTTATGTCATATACTAACATACCAAATTTCGATTTTTTTTCTGAAAAATAAAAAAGTTATAGGGGTGAGCCACTTTTGAGACGCACCCGGTATCTAATAGTTTCTTTATGATCAGATTTATGTTGACATATTTCTTAACTTCGTGATAATTTTTTTTTGTTTGAAATGAAACGACTTTATAAATAGTTCGCGTCGAATTAATCATTTGTAATGGTGATGATAAAGCAAAGCAAGAATTTCCATTAACATACAAACTGGATAAAATTTTCTCACATTTATGTCAGCATGAGAAAAAACAATACGGCGATATTATTATATAACTTGGTAATATTTGGAGGGTAGTTTCATCTCGTTGGAATTTGACTTTCGAAAAATCCGTTTGCCAAAAATAAGCTTTTTACGTCAAGCAGTTTAAGCAGAATCGTGGTTAAGAGATTACCCAACTTTTTATAACACGCTGTATGATTTTTTAAAAAAATTCAAAATCTTTAAAAAAAAAAACAAATAAATTATGCTGTCCAAGCGTTTTCCCGAAAGACTAACCGTTTTTTAAATAACAAATATTGTAATATTTGAGGGGCGTTTTCACCCTCTTGGAATTTGAGATTCGAGAAACCCATCCTTATCGAACCTCTACACCCCACAGTCAATCCGTTTGCCAAAAATCAGCTTTAAACGTCAAGCAGTTTAAGCAGAATCGTGATTACTCAATGGTTATATTTTATGAAACATCCTGTATAAATTTATAAAAAATCTTAAAATATGTAAAACAACAAAATAAAATATACGTGTTTAAGAGTTTTTCCGAAAAACTCACCGGTTTTTAAATAACAAATATTTTAATATTTGAGGGATAGTTTCACCCCCTTAGAATTCGAGTTTCGAAAAATCCCTTCTTATAGAACCTCAAAGCCCTAAAGTCAATCTGTTTTCTAAAAATCAGCTTTTTACGTCAAGCGTTTTAAGCAAGATCGTGATTAATCAATGACTAGATTTTTCGAAACACTGTATACATTTTTAAATATCTTGAAATATGTAAAAAAACAAAATAAAATAATAATTAAGCGTTTTTTCGAAAGCTTGGCCGTTTTTTAAATAAAAAATATTTTAATATTTGAGGGGTGGTTTCACCCCCTTGCAACTGGAATTTTGAAAAATCCCTTCTTATCGAACCTCTTCACCCTAGAATCAACCTGTATGCCAAAATTGAGCTTCTTACGTTGAGTGGTTTGAGCAGGATCGTGATTAATCAGTATGTCAGTCACTTAAGGATTTTATATATTAGTATAGATTTGTTTAAATTTATTGTTATTTCTTATAATTTTCTATACCTAATTATGAGTATAATATACTAGGCTTAGTTTCAACACACTAGTAATTTCTAACTTATATTTTTGTTCAAGGTGCCTATTGTTTTTATTGTGATTAATAATAGAATGGCCTTTCTCGCACGTTTCCAATCTGACACATTGAGACAATTTAAATTTATGACTGTATGGAGTGGAGATAAGAATTTTTTTAATGTCTACTATAGGCTGTAAATTAAGATTGATGAATTCATAAAAGAAAATACGGACAAAAAAAAATATTAGCTTGTTAAATTATAGATATTTTGGTATACCTACAAAGTTGTTTGAGATTACTTTCATCCTAGAATTTTTGATATACATATTCTACTAAGTACAGACTTGAAAACTGAATATCTGATTGTAATGAATACAAAATGGAAATTGATAAGAACTTAACACA